TACAATACCTTCAGATAAACAAAAGTTCTGAAATTTTTCATTAATATATTCAGTGCCATTATCTGACCGAATCATTTTTATTTTGCACGAGCACTGATTCTCAACAAGTTTCTTAAATTTCACTAACTCATTAAACACTTCTGCTTTGTGTTTAATTGGCACCACGAACAATTTATGCGAGAAATCATCAACGAATGTCAACAAAAAACCAGCACCAGAAAACGACTTTTCTGCGAACGGACCCATTACATCCGTATGTATTAAGTCTAGCAGATTTTCTGCCCGAACACCACTACTTTTAAAGGAAGCACGCGTTTGCTTTCTTTTCACGCAAACCACGCACTTTTCGTTGCTAATCTTTTCAAAATCAATAGGTATTATATAGAAGCAGATTTAGCTTTCTTTAAATGCTCTGGGGAAATGTGCCCCATTATTCTATGCCATAGTTGATAACACTGGTAGGGGTAAGTGATCGGGAAGGGTTCAAACTACCGGGGAAAGTTATTTATTTTTACCGGCAAAACTGTTGATTATATAGAAAAACGTTAAAGGAATTGTAATTTTTAATTTTTTTAAATTTGTTTGAGCTAGTGGTTCTCGAGTTATGTCAAAAAAAGACCACCAAAGGTGACAATTTCCCCTATATGATAGTTATATATATATCTCGATTCCTAGACGTGACCCAGCGAAACGCCGGGACACGTATAACTTGTTTTTGACCGATATAACATTACCCGTTGGTTTCATCCCATCCCGATTTTGACTATCGCATAGTGTAATTATCGCGGGTATAAAATGCATTTTGTGTGTTCGGATCGCGATTATATTCCGTATAACAATTTAGGCGATACAAATCGTTTACAACATTCGCAGTTGCTACCAAATTTCTGTTATTGTTGTAAATTTTGCACTCATTGCCTGCGAATAAAACCTTATTTCCGTTTTTAGTCATTTGTCGTACCGATAACAAATTCGCGCATAACTCTGGTACATATTCAACGTTCTTCACTGCAGCATCTGTTTTTATTTCATTCGCGTATAAACTCATATTTACATCACCTTTCGATTTAACTTGAATAGTTTTGTTATTCGCAACTAAAATAATTTTATTTGCAACCGGCACTTGATCAACAATCACATTATGGTTTCTGGTCATGTGAGAAGTAGCACCCGAATCAACATACCATTCGTCTTTACGAATGTCATGAGAAAGAAGAGATGCGAAAAGGACATTTTTACCTTTTCTGGTGTTGCCACCTCGCTTGGTTTTGTTAGGACAGTTTCTAGCAAAATAACCTAGTTGTTTGCATGAATGGCATCGAAATTGATTCGATTTTTCCTTTAAATTTGATTTTGCTTTTGAATAAGGTGCTTTCTCACCACACTTATAAGTATTCGTATTGTCAAATTTTACGTCTTGTAACAAGAGTGTTTTTACACCAGCGGTTGTGAGTTTTTCTTTTAAGTGTTTCAACGGCTAATACAAGTGGACGAAAATCATCTGATAATCCTGCTAACATCAACGATGCGGTCGTCAATATTAAGGCCGGCATTTTGCACTTTGAGTGACGTCATCACTACCGAATTTACGTATTCCTACACTGATACGTAGTCAGAAAGTTTGCACTGCACTAGTTGCTTTAACAGCTCCACTTTTCCCGTAAGGCCCGTATCTTCGTATGCGGAAAACAATGCCTTTCATGCCTGATGAGCCGTTGTAGCTGTTGCAATATGCGAAAAGTTATTTGGCTCTATCATCAAAGTTATTTCAGCTAGAGCACGTTCATTACTGTTTTTGTCCTTGTCTGAAGGTTCTGCAGGTAGCTCATTTTCGAGTACCTTCCAGCAGTTCTTTATGACAAGATACGATTTTGCGTGACGCTTCCAAATGTCGAAATTTTCGCGACCTTTTAATTTCCCGAATGGAAAAGCTACCGCGTTTGTCGCCATATTCAAAAAACAATCCGTGATGATTCGGTTAGAAATAATCAATCTGCGTGTAATAAATACTTAGCCGCTTAGCAAACACACTTTTCCAAACAGTATCAATTACAATTTTGTGACTTACTGGGCCCAAAACCTGTGAGAAATGTGAGAATTCCACGCAGAGAAAAAAAAGACACGGTAGCAATTCAAACCGGAAGGGAGTACATGTTTATTCAGCAAAAGTTATACATATAAAATATGGGCAGGGTTGCATTTAATGGTACAAATGGTCGTTCTATTTTACACTTCAATAGTTTAGATTTTTTTTGTTTTTGATCAAAAAACCTCTCACACAGACGGTCCAAAAAGTACTTTTTACAAAATCGGAATCGGTTCAGCCGTTTAGTTAGGCATGGCCGTAATACGAAAGACATTTCATTTTTATATACATAATTTATTATTATTACATGTAAATTTAATTTGTTATTGATATTGACTGAGTTGTTCAAAAACGGATTTGCCCTTTTTAAAAACTGGGTTATATAAAAAGGGGGAAAAACGGGAAAACCTAAAATGAAAAACGGGAAAAATATATAGAATTGTATGGAAAAGGAGACATGCTCGCCCAAAACCTGGCAACACTGGTTTCGGATAACCTCGCCTTCAGATAAGGCTCGCCCAAGAAGATCAGATCCGCAAAGCTTGCTATAGCTAATTCTGAATTTAAATATCTTCCAAATTTTGATCTCATGAAAGCGTATTACCACATCCCCGGTCTGTTCGAGTTTATGAGGTTATGTAACGCGGCTCAAACCTTCCAGCGATTCATGGATGAAGTTGTCCGAGGTCTCGATTTTGTTGTTGTTAATCTTGATGATATTTTGGTTTTTCTACCGATCCTGATCAGCATTTGAAGCACATCAGGCAACTATTCGATCGATTTAAAACTTATGGTATCGTCGTCAACGCTGGATAATGTGAACTGGGAGTATCAGAACTTAACTTTTTGGGACAATTTGTTGCGATATTAAGGTCGCTTATATATGTGTATCGGAGGATTGTTTAAGCGCGTAGCGAACTGGTATGCATACGTGCTAGAGTCCGTATCCGGCAATAAAAAGGCTGGAAAGTTAATGTTTAAGATTTAACAAAGTGGCGGTGTATTCAATTCAAGGGTTTTAGGATTTAAATTGCCGGAAGGGCTTGGAAAAGATGCAAATTGGAAGTAGTAGGTGTTAATGCAGTTGCGATCAGAATCAGACTAACTTTAGGCTGGCGAGATCGGGTCGCCCCGTACTATCGCTTATAATGATCGAAAATCGAAATAGAACACCTCTCAAGTTCACAATATTTGAACAGAGTTGCAAAAAAAGTTATTTATATAAAAGTTAGCGATACATTCAATTCATGTGGCACTATTGCAATTCATCGCAAAAGATTTGAAAATAATCATAATCTCCTCTGATTTGTGGCGTGCGCCTTGATGTTGTCACACAAAGTGGAGGGACCTACAGTTTTACGCCGACTCCGAACGGAGATTATATTTTTATGAGAAGCTGTTTTTCATGGCAGAAATACACTCAGAGGTTTGCCATTGCCTGCCGAGGGACGACCGCTGTTAAGAAAAAACCTTTTTCTAAATTTTTGCGATGTTGCTTTGACCAGGGCTTGAACCCAGGTGCTGATGAGTGAAAGCGCACACTGCTTACCACTACACCACATAATTCAATTAAATTTGAAGTCATGTTCTCGACATGCCGGGCCGCCTGTGCAATATTGAGAAGCCGTTTCAGCTTCTCTAGCGTCAATACAGTCTGACCGAATAAATCCTGGATGCGCTGCTGGACGGCCTTACCGGTCGACGGTATCCCTTGGCGGATTGATTACTTACGAGGCTCCTTACGGCGGCGGCGCTCTGGCGCTGGAGAGGCGGAGCGGTGTAGCATGGTGTGATGCGCTTTGACACATCGGTGGCAACTATCGTGCGAGTCAGATGCGCCGGTTACGTGGGACTTGGCCAGGCAATTGATGCAATAGCGATGCACCTTTGCCGACTCGTACCTCTCATCTGGCGTCATCGCTTTTGAGCTAAACTGGTGATGGAGTACCTTCAATTTTTGCCATTTTGTAGTTGGCGCTAAGTTTTCAGAATTCGGATCGGGTAGGGAAACTAGGGGAGCGCCGCGAAGAAAGTGGCCTGGCGTTGAAGCTAATAAGTCGTTGGGATCTTCGCTTCGATCCGAATGATGTCCTCAATGATTCTTCAAATGTGAATTTGTGGTTTCCAGCGACTTTAGTGAAGTGGGTTTTAAAACTTTTGTGGAAAAGCATACGAATACGCAAACGTATGATTTTGTGTAAGACGCTCGTCTCAGGGGGATGTTTTTACCAGCGAAATCAACGCCGGTTGTTTGAAAGGGCAGAGAATACTTTGCACGCTCTGGAGGTAGTGCCGCCATTATTTGTGATCGCATTCGCTGTTTATAAATGGTGCAAGCCTTGCATTGGAAGATGCACTTTTTCACTTATTGTTTGAGTCGGGGAATATAATACTCCTGCTGCACCATGCGAATCATTAGCTGCTTTTGAGTGTGAAGCAAGGTTTGGTGGAGAAAATCTTGCAGCAGTGAGCAGAATTTCGAGCCGTCTGGAATGATTATGGGGTGACGCTCATTATAGCTTAGGGCGGCATGTGCTAAACGACTACTCACTCGCATGATACCAGTTATATCCAACATAGGGTTTTCAGGATTCTAGGGCACTTAATTCATCTGCAAAATAGTTGCGTTGTGTTACTGTGATCAGTTTTAATTTTGCGAGATTCAATTCCTTCTGCGTAAGAGCTAAATAAGTTGGAATCGCAGAGTTTTTCACGCGACGTACAAACCGATATAGAAGTGCAATAAGTTTGTTCATTAAACCTTATAAATAAATGAGCCGTATAAACTTATAAATGTGTAAACCTTATAAATTGACTGTCAAAATTTGTATGGAAACTCGTTTGCCTATTTCTGATAAATTTCTCCAGCACGAAAATACAACGAAAACGAAATGATCCTGATATAGATCTGGGCTCGAATCGTAACATCCGTGCACGGATCGAAAACGATACGGAAGAAAATTACGTGATACGTCAGTCGTATAAGCGAAATGGCATTATTACATACGAAAGCGAACGGAACGTAATTTATTTTTAGTTCACAATAGTTTTTAAGTTCCACTATGCTTTGGATCGTATTTTTAAGTCACAATAGTTGTGGAACTGTCAAAACATTGAAAAATTAAATGCAAGTTAAACGAAAATTTAAATATGGATCCGACTTTGCTTTTTTATTTGAGCTCCAGCGATAGCGAAGGAGATGAAAAAGTGATACGAAGGCAGCTGAGAGATCGGAGCAATCCATTAACCTTGCCGAACACAGCGTAAGCATATAATTTATATACATTCCCAGCTTTTTAACAAAGAGTTCGTTGCAGATTCTTGAAACGATTCCGTTTGACCAAAGAAGCGTTTACTTATGTTCTGGAGAAATTAAATTTAAGGCAATCGGATGCCAAAACGGTGCCTCCAATCCTTCAATTGGCAGGCACCCTATCACTTCTTGCTAGCGGTGGCTACCAACACAACATTGGCAGTGATTATTTAGTAGGCATGTGTCAGAGCACTGTGTCGAAAGTTGTATCACGTGTTGTCTTAGAAATGGAAAGGAAGATGTGCCCAGAATTCATACGCTTCGCACCGCATGATTCGTTCAGCTGCAAAGATTGGTTTGTGGAGAAATATAAAATACCTGGAGGTAAATGAAACCTTTTTTTAGTTTGTGAAGTTACTAACTATAATATCTTAATTTTTAGTCATTGGCTGCGTAGATGGTACTCATATTGGTTTACAAAAACCTACTGCGGACGAACACATGTACTTTAATCGTAAGGGGTACCATAGTATCAACGCTATGATAGTAAGTTGATTATGTTTCTTGTTAAAACGAATATGATACAAATATTTTTTGTCAGATATGTGATCACACATGTAAAATTTTAGCAATCAACTGCCAATACGGTGGTGCAGCTCATGATTCCTTCATTTGGAAACATTCCGACCAGAGAAGGGCTTTAGAGGAAGGTTTTCAACAAAACAGGCAGGGAAATTCATGGCTTTTAGGTGGATATCTTGGTAAAGTTTTTGTATTTTTGTAATAGTAATTAATTAACATTTCAACAGGAGATTCTGGCTACCCACTTGAACCGTGGTGTATAACGCCATACAGAAACACATCGGATGGTTCAAGTGAGCAGATGTTTAACGATATTCACTCCAAAGCAAGGTGTATTATTGAGCGAACAATTGGCATTCTAAAAGGACGCTGGAGGATTTTAGGATACGGAAAAAGGGGAAGATATCACCCTATAAAAGTGGCACGATTTGCTAATGTGTCTGCAGCGTTACACAACATTTGCATTAAGTTTAAGATACCTTATGATCCTCCAAATTATTACTCCGACCCCATATCGGAAATTGATACAGGGGAAACAAATCAACTAACCGCTATTGGCCAAACAATAAGAGATCAAATAAAACATTCAATTTTAAGAGTAACGTAAGAAAGTATTAGAATGTCTATAAATAATATTTTAAATAGCTGATAAGAAAAATGAAATTCCTTTTGTTCAAATAAAGCGAAATATTTTATTCATTTAAATTCAGTACTTTTTCATTTATATTAATGTTAATAAATAGGCACTTAACAATAGGCACATAAGTGGCATAAGTATTAACCATAAAACCTTAAATACTGTGTGTATAAAAATAAATCATTTCATAAAAACCTAATAAATTAAAAATTAATCCAGGGAATATTTCTTAAACTAAAATACAAATCTTCAGGTACTTTAGTCATTTAAACTCAGTACTTTTTCATTTATATTAATGTTAATAAATAGGCACTTAACAATAGGCACATAAGTGGCAATAGTATTAGCCATAAAACCTTAAATACTGTGTGTATAAAAATAAATCATTTCATAAAAACCTAATAAATTAAAAATTAATCCATGGAATATTTCTTAAAACTAAAATACAAATTTTCAGTTACTTTTTCTTAAATTAATTTGTAAGGTTTCCAGCTCCAACCTTTTAATTTGTAAATCTATTTCGCGCGCCTCTTGTTGGCTACGATGCTTCCCCTCTTTTATCTCTAACATTCGTTCTTGCACCAACAGTAACTTCTCTTGAGTTTCCAACAATTTGTCCACCTTTGTGTCTAGATTTCTATGAAAGTCGGACACGGATTTCACATTTTCTTGGAGCAGCGCCAACTTTTCATCGCTCCCACTTTTTTTCCGCGGAGTTTTGGATTGAGGGGTTTTCCTACCCCTGGGAGTGTAAACAGCCGTTGATGGACCAGGCAAAGAGCTGAGGGATTCTTCGTCGCTACTCACATTACTGCCACTGGAATTTGTAGAGGCCTGTGTAGCCGGACTACTGCCGAACGCTGGTACGCTTTTGTTGCCTTCTACACACACTTCAAGGCCAGCTGCCTCAATAATCATTTCTTCAGCGGCAGTGATGACCTTTTCTTGGTAGGGTCCCCCACCAGTCCGCTGCTTGGACGACTTGTTGAAAGAAAGTTTCTTTTTTGCCTGATACTTTTGATCTGCGAAAGCCTGGAACGTGGCCAACATTAATGATTTGTTTTCGAAAAAATATTATAATCATATCTGTACTTACTTTCCTCCACATCTTAGCATCCTTAACTGGTGGCCCTTCCGCATTTAATCGCCTCGAAAGCTCCTCCCAGAGTCTGTTGGACGAGACTCTGCCTTGCGCGGAATTCGGGAGATTATTTTTCGCTAAACTGGGGTGCTTTGCCATGAAATCCGCCATAATTTCCTTCTGGGTGAGGTTTAATTTATTGCAGTTAGTCCTATATCAATAATATTAGTTAAAAATCATATTTAAAAATATATTTTTACAATTTACTTACATTTTTTCTTAAATTCGATCGTTTACGATTGCTTGTTGGTGTTCGAATGACATTTCGAACCAACGAGTACGTTCGTTACTCGTTGACGGATGATATCATAACGAATTACGATATCAAGGTCACGTTCACATATGTAATAATCCGAAAAATGTGTTTTTACGTGACGAGTAGTACGATATCGTATGTGACGATTCGAGCCCTGCTTCAGTTTATGATCCGTTCTGTTTGTTTTGGTTTTCTGATAATTTGGCAGAACAGTTTGGCAGCACTGACAAATGAATTCATACACAAACATACTTCTGCCACTGTTTCTTTTAACTTGCATAAAATAAATCGCATTCATGTTAAATATTTATTCAAATGGATATTATCTCGTTTAAATATATTTTCCCCCATTAGTGAGTTCATTTCTAAAATTTCTTAATCTTAATGCTAGTAGCATAAAATTAGTGATACTGAGCTCGATAACCAGAGAAAACAAGACTATTGTCGCAAGTGTAAACGAAAGGAGAGTATGGGGCGTTCATGTATCGGAGTGCTTAAATTTATAAGAATATCTGCAAAATAAAGTTATCGATTTAGATGAATTCCACTAATGACTCTTAAAGCGTTCAAGCTTATCGGTCTCTTTTCAGGAGGGGTTGGATTGGGAGAGACTCCTTTGGGCCAAGAAGTAGATGGTTTGGAGAGTCACTAGGGCCCGTTCCATCATAAGGAGCACTTAGCTAAATCTTGTGGTTTGCATCCCCGCGTTCCTAAGTCTGCTGGATTATCACCGCTGCGTACTTGGCGCCAAGTAGTGTTGCTGACATTTTGAGTGATCCGGTTGCCCACATACGTTTTCCATGAATGTGGTGGTTTTTCCAGCCAAGTTAACATGATTGAGCAGTCTGACCAGAGCGTTAATTCATGAGGTGGCAGATTCAGTTGGGCACGGGTAAAAATGATTAGCTTCGACAACAACACAGCGCCACAAAGTTCTAAACGTGGCAAACTTATCGTTTGCAGTGGTGCAACTTTGGTTCTGGCAACAAAAAGGCGAGTCGATAAAGAGCTTTCTTCGTGTTGCACTCTGATGTAAACGCAAGCACAAAACGCCTTTTCCGAAGCGTCTGAGAAACCATGTATCTGTGCGAGTTTTTCGGGCGAGAAGTGCGCCCAACGCGGGATGCTGATGGCGCCTATTGCCTGGAAGTCCTCGCGGAAATTGTTCAACTTGTGGAAACACGTACGCTTAACGTGCTCGTCTCAGTCAGTTCCCTCCAACCACAATTGTTGGAGGAGTATTTTGGCTAGTATCATTACCATTATTGGCGAGAACCATCCTGCCAGGCCGAAAAGTCTCGCTACGGCCGACAGTATTTGCCGTTTTGTGTTCGACTTAGATGCGGGTAAAGGGTCGTAAGAGTACGAGAAGGAGTCAGTCAGTCATTTAATCCAAGCGTTTTCGTTGAGCTTGTATCCTGGAATTTGAGAAATTCAGTATCTAAGACATCAGAATTCGGGATTAATTCAAGTATTTTTGGGTGATTAGATGTTCGTTTTCTCAGTGGAAAGCCTGCTTAGATAGTTTGGGTCATTGAGTTGAGAGTGGACTGTATATTGTGCCCGCCAGAGAGTACATCATCTACATATATTTCATGTAGTATAATGTTTTTGGCGAAGGGGTATTTTTCTCGGCAATCGTGAGCTAACAGGTTGTATTACTTCAAGGGGTGAAGCCTGCTCCTTGCGATTCATTTGCAAGTACTCATTCAGTACTGCTGAATACTTGTCGTGCGATTCCGGCTTTTTCTCCAGAGTCCTTTCGATACTTATGTAATGCTGCTGTGCTGCTGGGCGGGAGTGACCTGAGTGCATCCGGGAATTCGGGTTTGAAGGGGAGTTGGCCAGGAGTTGGACGACGTAGCGTTCATCCTTCTGGTGGTCGTGGTCCTGTAGAGTTCCTCACGGTACTCTTTTTCTGCTTACCTGGGTTGAGCGACCTCTATTTCCTCCTGCTCCCAAAATCTTCTGAGTAGTGTGCTGATTTTAGGTTCTGTTGCCTCTGTGATTTGAATGGAGAACGTCGAGACTTGTTCTCTGACTGGGCAACTGAGTATCCATCCGAATATCGTATTTTGTGCCAATAAGTCACGCTGGACGTGGTGTTATAGCCCGTCCAGGAGTATTTGGGGAGTTATATCGCTGCCTATCACCATATCGATTTTCGCCGTTGTAAATCAATTAGGGTCAGCAAGTTTCAGAGAGCGGAATTAGTTTATATTTAAGCTTGTTGCCTTAAAAAAAATGAGTTAGCTGAGGGAGGGTGATAGCACTTGTGGTGATTAATGGCCCAAACTAGATGAACATAGCGTTATTTCGCAAATTTTGTCTGAACTTTGTACTACCATTCCTCCCATACCAGAGATTTCGTAATACATTTTTCTGGTGGGTAGGCCTAGCAGTTTTTGTATTCGCGAAGCCACAAAGGTTTTTTGTGACCCTTGATCGACAAGAGCACGAAGTTTATGGTACTCACCATCAAAATATATGGGTACTATTGTGGTTGCGAGGAGGGTTGTTGCGCTGCTGCTGCAAAAATGAGATGAAACTTGTTGGGTGTTGGGGTCCGGTAAATTAGCTGCCAGCGCATTTTCTCTTGCTTGCGGATATCGTTGGTTTCTCATGATCTATGCGACTTTGAGCCGACATTTGGGTTACAGTCCTTTGAGGTTTTGGGTTGGCCCTCGAAGCTCGGGATTGTGGTTGGAAGTGGAGGAAGGAGTAGTCTCTTTTGGCAGTATATGCATTAGAACTTGCTCTGACAATCAATTTTGAAGAGGGAATATGAGAGGCAATTCACACAATATTTATTTTCTCTTACGAACTTGAGACGCTCATTTACAGACAGGGCTTTAAATTCCACGCAGATTTTCATTGGAAGGTTTTGGCTGCATACTTTACATGGGTCTTCGGTTTATTAAAAGAGGGTGAGTTCTGATTTATTGCTCTGGGGGGCGGGGTTTGGTAGAAGTGTTCTTGTTTTACCCGGGCGGTAAGTGCTGAGTCTTTCCACAATTTCATAAAAACTCATTCATATCTGCCCACAGCGGCAGTTCTTTTCGAGAACTCAGGGGCTGTTCCCACAAAGAAAGGGTTTTACTGGGCAGTTTTGAAGAGCAAATATAGACAAGGACGGGGTCCCAGTCAGAGGTTGGGATTCATTGTGCTGCCAAAGTGGACAGACAGTTCTTTATCGTGGTTTGAAGTTTCTGAATCTCCTCACCGTTCTCTGAGTAAATCGATTGGTGATGGAAGAGAGATTTTAATTGGTTATCTACCAATAATCTGCGGTTTCATTGTATCCCACGCTAATTGAAAGCTTTCATCGGCCAGCGGGTATTGCTTAACCAATTGCCCTGCTTAACCTCTCGTCTTTTGGCGCAAATGGTAGAGATTCTGGACTGGTGTTAGCTTGGGGTGATTTTCATAGCCGGCCGTGAACATATCCCTAAAGGACGGCCAGGCTTCGTACCCACCATGAAATACTTCGGTGTCAGATGGTGGTACTTTGAGAAAAACTTCAGAAGCGTTTGAAGTTTCTGGAGTTGGAGCTAAAAGCTGCAGAGCATCTAGTATTTGGCACATACAACTTTCGTAGCTTTCTGAGCATTTTTTATATTTTTGTTCAACTGAGCCACTTGACTCTTCGTGATCTCCGGAAAGGAATACTGCTCTAAAGGATGCAACGTGTAATTCACATAATCTGTTCAGTTGCTGGATCTTTACCTTCAATAAGGATTCTGTTTGGTCTGCTATAGGAGTTGCTGACCATGTAGAGTAATCTCTTTCTTTCAAAAATGAAAGTTTGGAGACTTGCATCTGAATCATTATCAGTAGAAGTTAGGGATTTCTTTTCCCATTGGTATGTGAGATAAATAATTCGGGTCAATTCAATTATATAAAATATATCTAGTTAAAATATTCAGGGGTAGAATCGAGCTTAATTACACTTAAAATTGATCTAAAATAATTCCTTGAGTATTTTATTTATTTTGTGTGGGTACTGGTTTCGTCCCACTGTGAGTCAATTGCTTTTGCTACACTGTACTGTCCTAGCGTGTCTAAGCCAAGTAACAGTGATTTTTATTTGCAGTGTTAAGGCATATGCACCTCTCAAGAAAAGCAAAAACTCCATATAAAATTACGTACAAGAAACGGCTAAGAAATTTTCTTTAATCAAATTTCCTTAAGGCAGTACACAGTTCTTAAGGAGTTTGCTACGCATTCTACTACGGTTTTCTAAAGATTTTTGTGAAAGAAGAGCACAAGGCAACCCAGGTTTGCAACAGAAATATATGCCCGTTCCATTATTTCTTGAGGAAAGAGTGAGGCAACAGGCTGTGAAGTATCAAAAATGTGAAAATTCCTTGGACACGCACACGAAATAATGGCAATTTTTTCTTGACCGTTTTCTTGAGAGCTGCATACAGGGCATTACAACGAAAAAAGGGATGAGCTTATGTATGTACGCGTATGTTTATGTACCAGTGTGACCACTTTGTGAGTAATTCCTCAAAACGTGAGGAATTTCGGGTGCGCTTGAGTATTTTTTGAGGATTTTTATTTTAAGGAAGTTTTGAGGAATTTTGTAATGCGATCAAAGCATACAATTGCAACCCTACAAATTACTACAAATCACCTTGTATGAATTTCCCCTAAGCTAATCTTAAAATTAAGAATGTACGATATTAAAAATGCAACACTGTTCGATGTACAATAGCAGCTAGGTTTAAGGTAAAAGTGAAAAATAAAGGGGCGTCATTCTATACGCGCCTTTTAAAACGTTAAGAAGTAATTTTAATCAATTCAATTTTTGGACCTTGGTAACAAGCCATCGCTCGTGCCAGCGGGCGAGTAAATCATTTTAATAAATTTAATAAAGTGTCCGTGCCCGGACAACAGGAGCACGGAATTTCCGCACTCAAGGCCACAGCACCAGGGAGCGCTATTGCTCCGTCCCATGCAGGGCTCCGCAGATCCGGCGGCAACTAGTACACCCCAGCAGGTAACGGCAATGTGGAATAAGCCACATTACATGGCGACCGTGGGTCCATCCCGCGACATTGCGGCCACACACACAAAAGCTGAAAGCTAAAGCA